ACCTCAGCCTCCCAAAGGCGCGGGATTACAGGCTGAGCCACCGAGCCCGGCTTTTTTAAACTTTTTTAAATTGGAGTACTCAGAAACAGATTATAAAATTCAGATTTCTAATAACCCAAAGTCAAATGAAATTAATACTTTTCATAATCTAATAATTTATTCCTCTTCTCTTTTCCTTTTAGATATAACCATTAACCAAAGTTTTCAGTAGTTTTACTTAGTGATTCTCATCTCTTATAATCTCAGACTAAACTCAGATAATTAAGATAAAAAATATATATCACAACATTAATGTTTGCATTTTAAAAAAATGTCCCTTTCCTTGCAGGAATATTGACAAAGATCACATTTAAGATATAAAATCTTAACTTGAAAAAGGTTACCTTTTAAAAATAAAATAGTTCCATTATTTTGGCATAGTCAAGTAGGAAATAAATCTATACATTGGTCTAATTTTTCCTTAAGAGCTACATAAAGACTGAGAGATAAATTTATATCAATTTTGATACACATACATACATACTGCAAACTGTTGTTAATAACTTTAACGTTCACAATCATTTGTGGAAGCATTAAATGTGCAATGTAAACTTATCTCTAGGAACCCTAAGTTCCAAATGAAAAAACTTACTTCGAACAAGGTATAAGAAAACTCTGTATTTTCTTTTCACTGACAACAATCATGAATCTCAAACCTGGCTGTTCATCAGAATCGTCATAGGATCTTAAACATGGGTTCCTGAACTAAGTTAATCAAACACAGCAATGGAGGTAAACGCAGTAACTTGTATTTTAAAAAAGCTCCTGAAGTGATTCAAGTTCAGGTAGTGATTTAGAAACTACTAACAGAACATTTCCAGTGTCCCGCTAGACATGAAAGAATTCAGGAGCCAAATATTTTTGGCACAACTCTAAGAAATAGTTAGGGTTTTATGGCTTACCGCAATGGCATTTTAATTGTTCCCTTGGTCTTAACCTTTTATTTAGGTTTATTTTATTTCTGGTCCTGATTCTTCTCACATACACAGTCCTTACTGTCTTACATAATGAGTTAAACAATTTTTTTGAAATCAATTATATGAGAAAAATAATCTCTAATTACCATTTCATAATCTGTTTTTTTGTCTTTACGCATTTGATTAATGGAGGTTAAATAACTTGGTGGAATGATGAGGTTTTTAAATTCTCCAAAATCACACTTCTCATTTTTTAAGCTATTTTCCATGCATTCATCATGTACTGTTTTTTGGCACCAAATGCACCTGAGGAAAGGAAGAAAAGGTTTTCATTAATTTTAAACCATAATCTTTACTGATTCACAAACCAATCATTTTTGTCAAAAAATTAAGACTAATTTCATTACTATTGAGCATAAAATCTGGCAAATAAACAATACATAACTGCATCTGCATAGAGAAGATAGAGCAATGAGGCTTGAATATATTTGGCAGTTTAATAGCGGTTCTTTTTTTTTGTTTTTTTGAGTTGGAGTCTCACTCTGTCACCCAGACTGGAGTGCAGTGGCCACTCCCGGCCACCGCAGCCCCGATCTGCTGGGCTCCGACGGTCCTTCCGCCTCAGCCTTCCAAGTAGCCGGAATTACAGGCACGCGCTACCACGCCGGCTGATTTTTTTGATTTATTGTAGAGATGAGGTCTCGCTGCTCAGGCGGGTCTCGAACCCGCGGGCTCAGGCAATCTACTCACCACAGCCTCCCAAAGGTGCGGGATTACAGACTGAGCCACCGAGCCTGGCTTAATAGTGGTTCTTAAAATGAGGTCTGGGGTCCCCAAGATTCGTTCAGGGCCTCTGTGAGGTTAAGATAATTGCAATAATAATATCAATAAGTTATATCACTCTCATTCTCTCAAGAGTGCACAGTGGAGTGAGTTATCTAGGAGCCATAAGACATGTGCCATCACAATGGAAGCAGAAATGAGAATCTAGCTGATTTCTAAGCCAAAGAAATGTGCAGAAATGTAAAACAATGTCACTCTTCTCATTAAATTTTCAGAAAAATACACTATGTTACCATTATTTTAAAAGTGAATAATTGAACAATTTCTCAGTTTTAACTTATAACATAGTAAATATCAATAGATAAGACCCATAGAAACAATAGCTGATCTTAAAACAATGGTTTTATGCATATTTGTGCTTTGGCTAAAGAGGTTCATGAGGCCTAACATCCTTGGCTTAAATGCCCACTGACCTGGGCCCTTGAGGAGTTCATCGAAGTCCAGCTTCAAAATCTCTTAACTTGTAAGTAAAACAAGTTATTTCTGGTAGCTAATACAAAAATCATTTATATGTTTGCTTCTGAAATAGACAGAAGAACATTGCATTCAAATTTACCTCTGTGTTTGGACACAATTCATAAAACCAGAAGGGCACAGCGCTGGTAAAAGTCCCAGGTTTCTATTATTAATCTGTTAAGTATTTAATCTACTCACAGATAAGGCAAATCTGATTGGACAGACAAAAGCAGGCCACCAGAATAGAATGGTTACAATTAAATGAATTAAAAATAAAGAGGATAAACACTTTTTAGAAGTCCTCTTTTGGCCTTCTAAGTTAAGGCTGTTTTTTCCCTTTGAATGTTCAGATTTGTCAAGTAATTAATGCTGTTTACTCAAGGGTCCTATTTACTGCTAAAAGAGTTATCTGCACAATCTGTTAAAGAGAGAACTAAAATAACTTGTACAATAGTGTTTGTTGATACTTGCTTTTGTACTAAGCTTGAGAAACTAAAATAGACTGCTTATGCAGTTGAAGTATAATACTTCCACCTAATGGTCTACCATTGACTTTAAAAGAGCATATGATTATTAAAAGCAATCTGAAAAGATACCCATGGAGTTATTTCATAATGGTTTCCTCTGGGAAGAAAAGTAAGACTGAGGGACTGGGAAAAACATTAGCTTTTTACCCTAAATATTCTTTTGTATTGCTTGAGATCCCCCAAATCAGAATATATTCATAAACTACTTGTGTACATTTTTAAAATTGTATTTTAAATAACATTAGCATATACTTGAGAATTTAGAAGTATAGAAAGGCATTAAATAAGAATCATCTACAGATAGTTACTCTTTTTAACGTACCCATTCTCAGTTTTATAGCACATATATGTATGTTTTTCAGGTTTGGAGTATGATGTACATATTTGGATAATGCTTTTCTTTCTACACCGCATCAAGAATATCTTAGTACGCCATTAAGTATTTTTTAAAAACATGGTTTGTAAATAATGTGCAGTATTACATCTTATGGATATATCATAATTTATTTAACTCTTTTTTTTAGAAATGAGGTTACCCAGGATAGTCTCAAACTCCTGGACTTAAGTGATTCTTTATTAATTACTTATTATAAAGATGTGGGGTACAATTCAGGGTTAGGTATACAAACACTGATTATACAGTACCCTTGTTACCTTTTTCTTTTTTAAAGACTTCAAAAAAATATGTAAACAATGTGAAGAACAACCTCAATCTTAAATGAGATTATTTCTTTGCAAACTTAGATGTTACCAAATCCAAGGGTCTGCATTTTCCTAAGGTTCCGGATGTTTGTCAAACATGCTTGTGACCGGTACATGAAGGTGTACATCTATATCTAATACTTGCTGATACCACTCATTAGTAATTAAAAAGTTTTCCTTGATAATTTGATAGAAAATGTATTCTGTTGTTTGAATGTGGAGGCCTTTGGTCACTAGGTAAAGCAGTATTTTTTAAAAACTTACGTTGTGCATTCATTTATGTCCTATATCCATTTTTACTAGGTTTTAGGAACTGCGTGTACTTTTTCTTTTTCTTTTTTTTCTTTTTGAGTTGGAGTCTCACTCCATCGCCCAGACTGGAGTGCAGTAGCATGCTCATGGCCACCCTAGCATTGACCTGCTGGGCTCAGGTGATCCTTCCAAGTAGCAGGAATTTTCAGGCACACGCTACCACACCTGGCTAATTTATTTATTTATTTATTGTAGAGATGAGGTCTTGCCAAGTTGCCCAGGTTGTTCTCGAACCCGTGGGCTCAGGCAATCCCCTCACCTCAACCTCCCAAAGTGCTGGGATTACCGGCTTGAGCCACCATGCCTGGCCTACATGTGCTTTTATTTACCTAAGATATCAACCTCTTTTCTATCATATTTATTGCAAACATGCTTCAGTTTTCTTTTAAATTTACTTTTTAACATACTTAAGATTTTGTTTGTTTGTTTTTTAAAGACATGAGGTCTCAAGATGTTGCCCAGTCTGCCTTGGAATTCCTGGGCTCAAGTGATCCTCCTACCTCAGCCTCCCTAGAAGCTAGGACTATAGGCACCTGGTTAAATGCTGTTATACTTTTAAGTCTGCTATCATTTCCAAGTTAAATTTTCAGCTATAGCTATTCTTCCTCCCAGTTTGTTTTTCATATTTACATCTTTAATTCGATGCTTCTAAACGTTCTGGGCTACAGACGCCATTGAGAATCTCCAAGTAGCAGGCCTTCCCAGAACTTTACCCATCTATGAACCACCAAGCTAAGAACATCTGCAATAATTCATATGGACTTTATTTTGATGTATCATGAAGAACCTTTTTTTCCCCCACCAAAGAGCACTTGTTATAGCACGATTCATAAAATAATCTTTTTTATCCCCATTAATTTGTGACATAACATTTGTCATTTACTAAATTCTCATAAATTTCAGAAAAGATTATTTTAACCAAGATAATGACTATTATGAGCCTTTGCACTGTAAAGGTAAAGCTAAAATATTTACTAGTCATTCAGTATACATTCCTTTAGAAATACCATACTCAAACTTGAGACGTATTCTCTTTATGTATCTTTTTTTTTTTTGATTGGAGTCTCACTCTGTCACCAAGGCTGGAGTGCAGTGCACACTCACGGTCACCCTAGCATCCACCTGCTGGGTTCTGGCGATCCTTCCGCCTCAGCCTTCCAAGTAGCTGAAACTATAGGCGCTTACTACCACGCTTGGCTAATTTTTTATTTATTGTACAGATGTGGTCTCACCAAGTTGCCCGGGCTAGTCTCAAACCCATGGGCTCATCCACTCGCCTCGGCCTCCCAAAGTGCTGGGATTACAGGCTGAGTCACCGAGCCTGGCCTCTTTACGTATCTTATAATTAGTATTTAACAACCTACATTTCAAACCCAATGGGAAAATAAGACATTACTAATAATGTCTAGATTATTTTAGTTTCTGTATCATGTTATTGGGTAATTGTTTATTGTCTTTATTTTTTCCTCTTTTTTTCAGTATTTCAGAGAAGTTGAAAGGATAGCAAAATGAATACCCTTAAACCCATCCTTAACTCTGTCTTTTTTTTTTTTTTTTTTTTGAGTCAGGGTTTCACTGTCACCCAGGTTGGAGTGAAGTGGCATGGTCACAGCTCACTGCAGCCTCTGCACTTGCTGGGACTATAGGCTCATGCCACCATGCTAGCTAATTTTTTGCACAGATAGGTTCTCACTATGTTGCCCCGGCTGGTCTCAAACTCCTGGGCTCAAGCAATCCTCCTGCTTTGGTTTCTCAAAGTACTAGGTTCACAGGCATAAGCCACTGCACCAGCCCTCACTCTGATTCCTAATTAAACCTATCTTCCACAATTTGCTCTCTTTAATAGGAATTCATATTTTGCTGAATTATTTGAAAGTAAATCACAGACATTATGAGATTTCACCCTTCAATATTTCAGCAAGTATTTCCTAAGAATAAGAATAATCTCTTTGCTTCTTAAAGTATTTTGCTTAAAAAAATTTTTTTAACAGTGAACACTGGTATACCTACCACCTACATTCTAGCATTAACATCCTACTGTAATTGCTTTGTTACATTTCTATCCATCCATTAATCCATCTTATTTTTTATAACTTCCTAGTAAATTCCAGATTTAGAATATTTCCTAAAAATATCAGTATGTAGGTACATTGTTACCTAGAGTCATTGTTTGTTTATAGACTTTTGTCATACAATTTATAGACAATTAAATGTACAAATATGTACACTTGTTGAGTTTTGATAAACATATTCATGCAACTAAAACCCTTATTCAGACACAGAACATTTCCCTAGAGAGTTTCCTCATACGATAATATGGAATGCTTCATGAGTTTATGTGCAATTCTTGTACAGGATTATGACTGCTTTATTTTTTAAAAAATGGTTTGACAAGGAAAATAAATCAACACTGCTTATTTTCTCTAAATAATTCATGATAGCTCTCTTTAGTATTCCAGGGTGATAGCTGAATTACAGGTGAATGTGAGATGGTCATGTATGAGATTCACATTAGAAAAGGGTTCAGCAAACCACAGGTATGTGTGCCACCTGATTTTGTGAATACGGTTTTAAAACAGCTGCGCTCATTCATTTATGCATGGTTTAAGGCTGGTTTTGTACCTTGACTATGGCAGAAATAAGTCATTACCACAGATCAAATGGTTGGAAAAGACTAAAATACTTTACTTTTGGCTCTTTACAGTAAGTTTGCCCACCTCTGCTTTAGCAGATGATCTGGTATCTTTCATTGTTTCAGATAATTAATGAAATGAATAAACACATACCAATAGAATAGGAACATAGTATTTATGATCAAAGCTGAGACTAAGGCAGCCAATGCAATTACCATCTCTGAGTCAGAAGCTTTGTTTTTCTATTCACAGGGGGGTGTGTGTCTTTGTGTGTGTGTGGGGAGGAGGGGGAATGTAAATATAAACAAACACAAGGTCTTCAAAATAAAAAAAGCACTTTAAGTTACTTCTCTCTTAATGAGAGACAGAACATTACAAGGAACAAAGGTTTATTTAATAAATATAGTGAATACTTAAAAATATAACCTCAAAAGAGAAGTAAGCAGAAAAAATCATGAGAAGTGATATAATAGCTACAGAAATATATGGTTGAGGGCAGAGGCAGGGACACACAAAAAGGAAAAAAATCTACATGAAAAGGGTCTGGCACAAAATAAATGCTCAATAAATGGCTAAGTATCAATTAAAGGGCTTTTCTCACTTCTTCTGCAGAGTTTAACAGAATTGCAGGCTTTAAAATCAGATGTTATCTGTCATTACTGCCCTTTGAAATGCCAGCTGTTAAACAGTCTTCAGAGTTCACTCACTTCCATAAGAATGTGATACAGACATAGAAGGAGCCCCTGTGAGGCTGGATAAAATCCAGAGACAGACAGTCCAGTCAGTGCTTAAAGGCTCTAAATAGCTACTTTCTTTGTTTCTACTTTCAAAATAGCTCATTCCTACGGAAGGTCACAGCAGACTGTAATCCTGCATAAAATTATTGGCTACCATAAATCTGTTCAGAACACTGTAGACTATATTCAACTTTAGGACACTGTGCTCTTTTCTCCTGGGAATAATAAACACCTCTTAAATTATACAGAGACAATTTCTACCATGCGTAAGGGATGCAGCATGCCGGGAACATACTGCTTAACCTGTAAGCACATGCTCATGAGGAAAAGATCTATAATCACAAACATTCATTGCGCTCAATGGGAGAACACAATATTAAGGACAGAGGTTCATGTTTTTTTTAAAAAAATACATAAATATTGAGTGGTTCTCCAACTTTAGGACCTGTGGGGCCTGTTAAAGCAAAGACAGCTGATCCCTAGCCCAAGTTTCTGATTCAGTAGGTCTAGGATGGGGCTAGGGTTACCAGAAAAAAAAATAGACAATACCCAGTTAAATCTGAATTTTAGACAAACAAGTACGTTCTTGGCATGAGTACAAGGGGGTACACCCAAAAACACAGAATTTATTTATAAAAAGTATTCTTACATGTTTAAACTTTAGTCACCTTCAAAGTACTCTGTTTGATGCAACACACCTATAAAGATACTTTTTCCTCTGCTCAAAACAGTTTTTAAACTCGTCAATTTTGATGCCTTTTAGTGCTTCTGCTGTTGTTTTGTTTCACCTCTTTCATATCAGCAAAAACATTTCCCTTTGAGAATTTTTTTCATTGGGGAAACAAAAATAAAATCACTCGGGGCAAGATTGGGTAAACAGGGAGGGTGGGGGGCGGAAGTCATGGCATTTTTGGTCAAAAACTTCTGAGTGGTGTGAGCAGGTGCACTGTCATGTGGAAAAACCAGTCACCTGTTTGCCACAACCCAGCATGTTTCTTCTGCAAATCATGATGCAACCTTCTGAAAACTTCCAGAGAAAAACTTTGGCTAACTGTTTGATCTGGAGAAACAAATCCTGAGTATACTACAAGGGACCCACCCTCCAAAAGTTAATTTCAATTATTTTTGGGTCCCCCCCCAAGTATGTTCCAAGTATTTCATTTTTACTTGCTAAATCTGGCGACCCTATAATATGTATTTCTAACAGATTTTGAAGTGATGCTGATGCTGCTAAGAACCTTACTTTGAGTCCACTGAGATGTAGGATATTACATCATAAAGATGGAAAAATGTGTGTGTTGTGAGAGAGGTTAGTAGAAGACCAGCCAAGGGTTCCTGGAGGAAAGGACATGAGATAAATCTCTAAGGATACTAGAAGCTAGCCAGAAGGATATAAGAGAGGAAAGCTTTGAGAAGAAGGGCAGCAACCAGTCAGGTGTGGCTGCATGCCTGTAATCCTAGCTACTTGGAGGTTGAGATGGGAGGGTCACTCGAACCTAGGAGTTCAAGGTTGCAGTGAGCCGTGATCTACTACACTACTGCACTCTAGCCCTGTCACTATTAAAAAAAAAAAGGTATTAAGAAAAAGGAAATCATAAGCAGCATGTATTGCTGGTGCATAAAGGTTAGTACAGGTAGTGGCAGACAAGAAGGGAAGAGAGACCAGGGAGCAGTAGGAGCTCATGTATCCTGTGTTAAAGCGCTTTGGGAGGCCGAGGTGGGAGAATCGCTTGAGCTCAGAAGTTCATGATCAGCCTGGGCAACATAATGAGACCTCAGCTCTACAAAAAAATTAGCTGGGCATAGTGGTGTGTACTTGTACTCCCAGCTATTCAGGAGCTGAGATGGGAGGGCTGCTTGAGCCCAGGAGTTCCAGGCTGCAGTGAGCTGTATGCCTGTAATCCTAGCTACTTGGGGACACTGCACTCCAGGCTGGGCGACAGAGGGGGACACTGCACTCCAGGCTGGGCGACAGAGGGGGACTGATTCCAAAAAAAAAAAAAAAAAAAAAGTACTTGTGAGGTGACATTGTAAGACAATCAGCAGAAGTAATGGGGGGAGTAACTAAGGGTTTTAAGCAGAGCAGGTACTTGAACAGATTTGCAATTTCACAAGGATCAGTGGGGTGAGGGACCAGAAGCACTAGGATTATCTGTTTCGAAGTGTCTGAAATATGGTTAAGATATTTACAGAAACCATTTTTATCTAATTTTGCACAGGCACAGAGAAGGGAAGGGGAAGGAAATAAAACAATACTCAATTCAGTATGAAATTTAATTAAAGTCCTGGGTAATCTGGCTCTCTCTGATGCCAGAAAGACAGTATCCAAATTCTAAAAATACCAAAAAGAATGATTACAAAACTTTGTAATTGTCTAAAATATATTAATTTGAAAATGTATTCTTAAGTCTCTGATATGAATCCAATAAGACTTGAAAACAGGTATTGACCTAACAGTGCCTAAGCTAACTTAAAAAAAAAAAAAAAAAAAAAGATTTTCCTGGAAAAAAAAAAAATCAATGTAAAAAGTAGCTTCCTAGCCAGGCTTGGTGGCTCAGCCTGTAAACCCAGTGCTTTGGAGGCTGAGGTGAGTGGAGTGCCTGAGCCTATGGGCTCGAGACCCACCCAGGCAACTTGGCGAGACCTCATCTCTACAATAAATCAAAAATTAGCCAAGCGTCGTAGCGCGTGCCTGTAGTTCCAGCTACTTGGAAGGCTGAGGTGGAAGGATCGCCAGAGCCCAGCAGGTGGAGGCTGTGGTGGCCGAGAGCGGCCACTGCACTCCTGTCTGGGTGACAGAGTAAGACTCCAACTCAAAAAAAAAAAAAAAAAAAAGTAGCTTCCTATCTACTGCCAGCCTTCTATTTCAGTGCTTAAACACATTTATGGGCCTTTCTACCTGTCAGAAGTGAAATCCATTACAGTGAAGATGTCCAGACTTAAGGCTCAGACAAGGCTGGGTTGGCCTAGGGGTTACAAATCCTGAAAGTCAGTTCTATTTTACCTAGTTGGCTTAAGGCGCTTTAATTTTTTTCAACCGTTGAAACGAGTAAGAACAGATGATCTGCAAAGCAGATTTCCTTTCACCAATTTCTAGCATCAGCAACGGACAGAGATTGCCACCTATTTTCAGACAATATTTGAGGGCAAAATGTGTTGTCAGGTGTGAATACAAAAGTCATTAAAATATTTTTGGCTTAATCAAGGTCACTTATCTAAGATTCTACACATTCTGAAAGACCATTTGTCCAAAGGAATATTTCTTTCTGTGCTCTTTTTGAGTATATTTCACTGTGGCATCAACAGCTATATTAGGAACAGATACTTAAGTACTGCCATGGAATGACACGTTTTCACTGCACATGAAAACAAAATCCACGATGAATCAATTTTGTGGCCGAAGGCAAAAGCTGATTTGTCCACACCTCATTTTTCTTGTTTAAAATAAGGAAAGCCTCAAAGCAGGTAGCACTGGGACATCTCTGGGTGAAAGTTAAGCGCCAAGTTTTACGACCCCAAAGGGAGGGCTGGCTGAGGAGCGCAGGCTAGATGCATCACCCCAGCAAAGGATCCCTGCGAAGCGGCCAGGCTCGCAAAGCACCAGGGCTGTTTGTCAGCTTGCTTCTTCCAGGCGAGCGAGCAGAGCAGGCTAGGCCACCCGCAGGGATGCCAGCGGGCCTCTGCACCGGCTCTGGGAAGTCCTGCCCCCGCTGCGCATTCTGGGCCGCGAGCACCCACCCCAGGCCCTACCTGTAATCGCAGAGCTTGGGCTGACTGCCGCACTGCTGCTTGCAGGCCACACAGTAGCTGCACAGGGGCACGTTGCCCCGGATCCAGTGGTGGGGCATGGGGTCCAGGCCCCTGCCGTCGCCCTTGAGCATGATCTCCTTGCACTGGAAGCGCTTGTCGGCCTTCTTGAGGCAGCCCTCGTCCACGCGGAGCCCGCAGCAGTCGCAGAAGGCGCCCTGCAGGATATGCTGCGCACACAAGCAGCAGTAGGTGGGCTGGCTGAACAGGTCGGTGTCGCGCCATCCGTGCTTGCTCTTGCGGAAGATGTCCCTGCGGTGCAGCTGCCGGCGCGACCGCTGGAGGCTGCACCAGCAGGTGATGAACACCGGCAGCAGCACGGAGCACAGCGTCCACAGGACCAGGTGTCCGTCCGCGAACAGGCCCTGGGAAGGCGGGCCCGGCGCCGGCCGCCTCTCCCCTTCCATCTCCTCCAAGGGCGGTTTCTCACTAGGAGAGAAACACACGGGGTCCGCTCGGGACTCGCGCCCCGCGCCCCGCGCCCCACCCTCCCTCCTGCCTTTCAGAGGCTGCGACCGTCCA